ATGTTTTGCTTTTCTCAGCAAGTTGTCTGTACCCACCCATCCGTGGGCCACCTGCGCGCGCCGTCTTGGAAACGCAGTCTGCGGCAACGCGACGCCTCATGTTTAGGCTCCTCCTCCTCCTCCTCCTCCTCCTCCTCCTCCTCCCCCTCCTCCTCCTCCTCCTCCTCCTCCTCCTCCTCCTCCTCAGAATGCAAGTGGCGCTGGTTTTTCTCAACCTGTTTTCCGGTGGCCCACCCGTGCGTGGGTCATCTGTTGCGCGCCGTACGGGGCACGGATTGCGTGGCAGTGCAACGCCTCATGTTGAGGCCCAGCACGTGGAACACGGTTTGTCTCAGCAATTTGTTTGGGGCCCAACCCGTCCGTGGGCCAACTGTTTCGCGCGCGCGCTGCACGGGACACGTGCTGAGTGGCAATGCGTCGCCTCATGTCGAAGCCCAAGATGCAAGTGAACCACTTGGTTTTTCTCAGCAAGTTTTCTGGTGACCCACCCTTCCGTGGGCCACCTGCTGTGCGCACGCCGTATGGGAAACGTATTGTGTGGCAATGCGTCGGCTCATGTGAAGGTTCCGGATGCAAGGTTAACGATGGTTTTTCTAAAGTAGTTTCTTGGTGATCTACTTGTCCCATCTGATGTGCGCGCGCCGTACGGGAAACGTGTCGAGTGGCAACGCATCGCCTCATATTGCGGCCCTGAACGCAAGTAAAGAATTTGGTCCCTGCCGAAGGGCTCACCAAGGGTGCTGCCACCCTCCCTGCCGGGAACCACCGTCCGCCCACACCGTCTCCCGTGCGCAGCGAAATCGATTTTGGCGAGTCCTGCGACTAAGCCCCCCGCCAGCGCCCCCGCTAGCGAGCGAGAGCGCTCACCACCACCCCAGCCAGCGCTCCAAGCCCCCACCGCGGCAGGGGGTGACAGCAGCGTCGACCCAATCCCCGGGCATCCGCACGGAACTGGTGGCAGAAGGGGGCATGACTGATGAACCCGACGGTGAGAGGGAACGCAAGACCCAACGGACCGGAACACAAACAAACGGCGACCCTGACTTTCGCCCCACCGCCGGGGGAGACGCGTCGTCCAGCGGACACCCGGGCCGCACCCACCCGCCTTTCCCACCGCATCGGGCCTCTCACATCCACGTCGGGTACACGCCCCACCACGACCTTAACGACAGCCTCATCAACAAGCTCCGCTGGGACACCCGCTGGCGTTGCGCATGGAACTACCAAGCACGCCGGTAGGAGTCCTGGCCAGGAGCTGTGAACAGTCTGAAAAGAATGCGGACCCATGTCCGTCATCGGTTGGAACGCACTTTGCGACCAACGGGAAGGACGGCCAGGAGCAACGTTTAACCGCATCGGGCAGGACCATTTCTGCGAGGGGGTCGTGTGCCAGCTGCGCGAGGAAGAACTTCGAGACCCGCCAGTTGTGCAGGAAGTGGAGCATACGCATCGACTGGTACGCCGCCTGGGACAAGCACGTTCGAAGGATCGAGCTGATGCACTCCTGTAACGGCAAGAGCTTAAAGGCGATGGCCAGGACCCAACAGGGAAAGGCAAGCGGCGCGCCGACCCAGCTCCTGCCGCGCGCTCCTCCTGGCGGCGCGCGGCTCTGCTGAGCGCCCCGCCTATGCCCGCACCCCCTGTCGGGCCAGAATCACGGGCCTGGGCCCCAGTTTTGCGCGCCATGGCGCGCCCACGGCTGTCCACCCGGACCGCGGTGGTCGCCGTTGGCCTCTTCCCGCGCTGCCCACCGGACAGGGTGGGCCCCACCCTGGGTCTTTGTGCTAAGCTTTTTTTTGTTCAAAAGCCTGGGTTTGCTTTTCTAGCAAAAGAAGACATTGCTTCGTAGCATTATTTTAAGCAAAAAATGCTTGGAAACCTTAGTATTTTCCAAAGAAAATACTAAGGTTTCAAAGTAGTCTGGCCCCCTACACTCCAAGCAACAGTGGGTTGACTCAGGGGTGGCTGTCAGGGGGATGAAGTGGGGGGGCTTCCGTTCAGAACAAGGGGGGCACAGGAGCCCTTTCTCAACCGATGGGGGCAGGAGGGGGGCTGGCACATTGGTCCATGATGCCTCAGACGAGCTTTGAAAAACTGAACCTTCCCAAGACAACCGTCGCCACGACTCCGTTGAGCCAGGACATCTGCACGACATCCCAAGATAGAAACGACCGTCAGGGCCGTCCTTTTCCGTAACCATTTCAATTCAAGCCGCGAGCACGTTTCGTCATTCCATGCACATGAGCGAAGCCAAAAAGCGGAGAGGTTGCGCCCCCCGTCTAGAGATAGATGCTTGCAGCCGCGCGATAGTCGACCTGATTCGTGAGCAGGGGAAGGGTTTTTCTCGGACTAAGAACATCAGTTCTATGTTGCTGGATCCGATGTCGTATAAGACCAAAGGGTCCGTCGACAGGCAGACGGGGAAGAGGTCCAAGTGGGAGCCCGATTTGGAGGCGCTCGTGGCGAAGTCGAAGGTGTTGGAGCTGCTCTTCAGGCACACAGGGGGCGGAGGAGTCCCAGCGTGGAGTGACCTCGGCGAGTGCTTCAAGAAGATAGCCAAGGACCAGCCCATGAGTGAGTTCGCCGACCACAACACCTCGACAGTTTGCGACGTCCTGGCAGCCAAGTGGAGGCTCATGATGACAGATTGCCACCGCTACGCCACGATGCCGAGGAAGCTCATCAGGGATGCGCTGATGCTTCAGGAGTCCAAGCGCGACCAGCTGTGCAACATGACCATGAAGATCAAGGGCTTCCTCGAGGGCAGCTCGAAGAAGGGCGAGGACGTGAAGGGTTCGGGCGATTGCGACGAGGACCCCGAGTCGCTTGGCTCTACCGCCTTCGACTTCGGCCGGGGCGCTGAGCCCGTCGTGGACAAGGACGGCGAGAAGGAGGGCGCGAAGAAGGATGCGACGGCTTCAGCTGGCGACCCGATCGCCGAGGCAGTTGATGCAGCGAGGGCGGCGGCGAGCACCCTCGGCGTGGCGCGCAAGCCCGTCGAGGCCAAGTCCGAGACCGCTGACCTGGGCAAGGCTGCTGATGAGGCTGCGGTTCACGAGAAGCCACCCACGAAGAAGGCGAAGAAGGGGCTCCACAGCGCTACTATTCCAGAGGATTGGTGGAACGAGCAGCTGATCAACGCCAGCGTGACACACGCGGTATCGGGCAACGAGCGGGCATGCATCATGGGGGCGACTTCGAGCAGGGAGAAGCCGTCGCTCGTCGTCGAGCTGGCGGAGAAGAACCACGAAGACTATCACGCCATCGTCGCGAAGTGGGCGAAGCAGATCGACAAGAAGGGCGCCGCCAAGGCGCAGGTCAGGCAGTGGAAGCAGAAGCTACTGGGCTATTAGATGAGGTGGCATCGCTCGTTTGCTCGCTGTCTGCAGCTGGCATTTCTCGTTGGCGCGCTGTCTGCAGTCAGCATCGCTCGTTGGCCCACTGCAGTCTGCAGTTGGCCGCGCACTGCATCAACTTGCCGCGCCTCCGATGCTTCGGATAACGGGGCGCGCGATGGAGCGAATGCTGAGGAGGAGCAGGAGGACGGGATGAGGAGGAGGAGGAGGAAGATGGCCCCGCCTGGCAAGCATCTGGCCCCACGTGGCCACCTAAGAACAAGCATTGGGCACAGTTTGGTAATTAGGTGACGCTTCCCCGCGGAGGAGGAGGAGGAGGGGGGGGGGGGAGGAGCAGGGTGATGAGGAGGAGGAGGCGGACGAGGAGGATAAGGAGGGGGCAGATGAGGAGATGGAGGATGCTGATGGGGAGGAAGAGGAGGAGGAGGCGATGAAGGAGGAGGACGGGGGGACGGGAGAAGAAGGAGGATGGGGCGAATGGGGAGGAGAAGGATGAGGAGGAGAAGGCGTGGGAACGGGAGTAGGATGACGAGAAGGAGAAGGACGATGAGGATGAGGCAGGAGCTGAGGGGAGGAGAAAGAAGGAGCAACAGGAAGATGAGGACGAGCCCGCACCGCGTCCAGCAATCCAGCCGAAGGTGCGGGGCACGGTGGACCCTTCTGGGCCCTTCTGGGCCCTCATCGCGGGCCCTTCTGGGCCCTCTTCGTGGGCCTGTCTGGGCACTCGGGCGTGGCGGCATTCGTTTTTTTCCTGCAATAAGTTAACCCCGAAAACAGCCAAAGGCAACGCTTAGAAGATAGATGAGCTTTAGCCGCTCATCAATGTGCTCTAGTCCCGAACCCAGCGCTGAATCAGAGTCCAATCCAACCGGTCTCAACCGCGCCCTCTAACCCCGCGTCTCCATCAATGTGTCCCCCATCAGGCGCACCCACAAGACCCCTACAGGACTCCCCCTTTAAGATCGCCCGAAAGCAAATCGTACTTGTCCCCACGCTACCCGCCATACATTCGGGCTCAAGGAGTTTCGGCAAGTCCCAGCATGAATGTAGCAACAGCTCTTCATGAGGACCAATTGACGCGTAAACGACGGCACTGCAGTGTCCCAGAAGTTGAATCACATGAAGTTCCGACTGGACCTGGTCTGGCTCGTCGTTCGGTTCTGGCGGAAGCGCTGCTTCTCGGATGGGCTGAGGGTGAATTTCTTTCTACGCAAGTGCAAAAGCTAGCAACGTATGCCGTCATGGATGGTGGTTCCACCGCGCCGAGCACGCTCCAGAAGTTGGCAAGTCTTGGCACCTCGGGGAAAAATCCGCAGAACACCAGCACAGAACTCAAAGCTATGATTTCAAAGATCATCGAGTTCGACCCCCCTGTCCTCTTCGGAGATGCCCCCATGAAGATCGACAAGGGTGACGACGAGGGTGTCCATATGATCGAGCTCGGCTTTCCTGCTGCGCACGACTGGTTGCACTTCTTGTTCCACCAGCACTACTCAGAGTTCCAACCCAGGTGGGCTAACAGCACGGCTGATATTGAACTATTTTGGGAGCATTGTCACGCAGCCGACCCTCGTCGGATGAACATGGATCTCATGAGAAAACCAGACTTCAATCAGAAATGCATACCACTTTTGATTCATGGCGATGGGGTTCCTGCATCAATCGTCTGGTGTGATGTGCATCTCCATTGGCAGTTTGATATGTGACCACTTCTTGTCATCGTTGGAGAAGCTGTTCTGGCTGGGCGGCTACTACACCAGGAGTGAAGTCAAGGAGTCCAATTTGGGCGCGACCAAGACGCACTTCTGGAAGCGGCTCATTTACCTGCTCAAGGTTTTGGAGACTGGTTGTTTCCCAAGAATGATATGGATGGGAATGCGTTTCCTGATGGGTCTAGGCAATTCGCAAGGAGGAACACATTCTTCGCTGACGGTCATTATTTTGCAGTTTGGCTCATCAAAGGCGACACCGAATTCAAGAACAACCATTTCGATATTCCTGGGCACTGGAGCTCTGACTATCCGTGTATGCATTGTCCGTGCATCAAACTGAAGGACTCCACGCCTGCAGCTGACCGCCCCATGAACTGGATGAATTTCAGTGCGGATGCACCTTGGAAGCAGAAGGGGTTCATGGACATGAGGGAATGGTTCAACCATTGTCGAGGCCGCGGGAAGACGCCATGCTTGCTATTTCGACCACGGGACGAAGGAGGGCTGGGCATGCATATTTTCGCTGTGTTCGAGGACGGCCTGCACAACATGGAGCTTGGCAGCGCGCAGAAGATCCTTGGTAATGTCATGTGGTTGTTGGTGTATGGTGGGAGAATGGGTATTCGCCCCCCGAAGGTTGCATTGCGACAGTTGTGGTTGGAGATTGCGCAAGGTTACAGAAAGCGTGGGACTAAGAACCAATTCAATGAGATCGAGCTGGATTCATTCACCGACCCGAAGGCACCGAACAACACGTTCCCTGAACTGCACGGCAAGGCAGCCAATGTTCGACACCTTGCGCCTGTGCTGGTTGAGATCTTCGAGGGGTGCGCCACGGACTCCGACTACGATGGCCACGTCAGAGAGCTGCTACGTCACCTGTGCTCGTATTACCACGTCTTGGACCATAAAGGGCCAGACGGCGCGCCGGTTCAGTACCTCCCAGATTACTATATAAGAGAACTTCGCATTGCAATCGATGGTTTGCAAAAGCATTACAATTGGCTCTCGGTTCAGAATCCACAGCCCAAGAACGCCCGCCTGCGGGGTATGCAGCCCAAGCTGCACCACGGGTGGCACGTTGGCTTTCAAGCTGTTTTCCAGAACCCTAGAGCTGCATGGTGCTATAGCAACGAAGATTTGGTTGGCAGGATTGCGACAATAGTAAAGGCGGCAGCCTCGGGCATTCCAGCAGCCCAGAGGATGCCGCACATCATGCCCAGGTATCTACAGGGCCAGAGCTTGCGAGTACAGTCTGGATGGGGCAGGAAGCCCGCCAACATTCGGGATTGAGCGTGCGCTTGGATGCTGATGGGAAGATCTGACTGGCGATTTCGCCCGACCAAGCCTCCAAGGGGCCCCGAAGAGAAATGACGACCTACGAAGGTCATCCAAGGGCCCCGAAGGACCTTGAAAGGCCTTGAAGGGCAATGCCCCCAGGATCCCGAAAGGCCCCAGAGACCCTCGACGGGCCCCGCAGGCATCGTGGGCCCCGAAAGGCCCTGAGGGGCCCCGAACGGCTCCGACGAGAGCCAGCGCAATTTTATCAAACTAGCAACCTTTTTAACAAAACTGCAACACATGTGCCGAACACGCTTATCAACTTAACAGCGTATCTAACAAACCTGCAACATGCGCTTCAGAGCACATTTAACAAAAACACAGCTGTTTTAATAATTGTGAGAACAACTCCACCGACACGTTTATCAAAAAAACGCAGCAGTTTTAACAAAACATGCGCTCGAATACCGCACGTTTAACAAAAAAACGTGTTGTTGTCAAATCATGCTCGGGACCCCATCAACAGCATTGTCAAAACAGCAGAGATTTTAGCAAACGTGCTTGAACCCATCAACCGCATAACTTTAAACATTTTTTTTTTGAAAAAAAATGTTTTCTGATAAATCTGCCAAGCGCGACGCAAGCCGTTTTATCAAAAACGATGCGGTTTTGACAATACTGCACGCCCCGGAAATGCCTCCTGGACGGGGCTGGATTGGGCCGACGAGGGGGGTGAGGGCGAGGAGGAAGAGGAGGAGGAGGAGGAGGAGGAGGAGGAGGAGGAGGAGGAGGAGGAGGAGGAGGAGGGTGGCCCCGCCTGGCAAGCACCTGGCCCCACGGGGTCACCTAAGGACAAGAATTAGGGCAAATGTTGGCGGCTCGGTGACCCTTCCCCGCGGAGGAGGAGGAGGGGGAGGAGGAGGAGGAGGAGGAGGGGGAGGGGGAGGCAGGAGTAGGAGGATGAGGAGCAGCAGCAGCAGCAGCAGAAGTCAAGCACCGCCCTTGCGCTGCTCTCTCGCCGCCCTGCCTCCCCCGCGTGCTCGGGAGGCCGCGCTTGCTGGGGAGGAGGGTCTCGTCTGCTCCTTCCTCCTCCTCCTCCTCGTCCTTCTTCCGTTCGCTTCTTAAGCAGAAAACGTGATTGGTCAGCGCTGGGGATTCGCAATTCCTGCAGGGTGGTGCTTGCGCTCGCGCCCCTTCTCGCTGAGGGAAGGGCGCCTGCGCCTAGACCCGCGGAGATCGCGAACATCCGATGTCGGCCGATCGCGCTTTCAATTGCGTTCCGACGTTGCTGCGGGGGGGGCCCGCGTTCGGGTACCTTGGTGAGTTTTTTTGCCGCGGGGGCAGGGTTCCAGGGGCCCCAGGGTGCCAGCGAGGGCATGAACTCGTGGAGAGATCCCAAGCGAAACGATGCAAGTCGATCGTACATGTAGGATCATGCCCTAAAACCTTTGAGGAGAGGTGTTTTGTTTTTTGCAGATCGGGGCATTCAACTGCATTGGTGACAAGCCTGGCAACAGCAGCAGCGTCACTGAATGACAGACACACAGGCAAAAGCTCGTCCGACCTATTCTAAACAATTAGAATAGGTCGGGCGAGCTGCCTTCAGAAACACACACACACACACTCGCACAACAGACTAGCGTAGGAGATTATCTGTAGTGGCCCTGACGTCATTTCTCCCGCGGCCATTTTGTCTCTAGCCTGTCTTGCTTGGCTCGTGCACCAATCCACGTCCAGGACAATTCAACTTGAACTCGAGAGCGCTGCGATGGCGCCCAAGAGCGTGATGAAGTCAATTATGAAGGGGAAGTTCGTCAAGCGTAGCCAGGCTCCTGGCTTCGTCACGCCCATGAAGCGTGCGTGCTCGAGCTCCACTGGGGACTCGGGCGTCAAGGCCTTGAAGAGGCCTGCTGCTGCAACTCCGCCTTCCATGAGGAAGCCAGCTGCTAAGGCCGCGCAGGAGGACGACGATGACGAGGAGCAGGTGGACCGCCAGGAAGCCGAGGCGCTGGCGCAGAACCTCACACGCCAGCAGCGCAGCGACTTCCAGAAGGCTCTCTCCAAGGATGACATTCCTCAAGCGATTCGTGACGACTTGAAGGCGATCGACGCTAGGGGCTACGGCTTGAGTAAGCGCGATGCCAAGAATTTGAAGATCGCAGCTTGGGTCATTGGAGGTTGGGCCCACCCTGTCTACAAGAATGTCATCAGGATCTCGGAGACCAAGGAGAAGAAGGAGGTGGCCAAGTCAGTTGGGTGGATCAGGATGCGCGCGATCATGGGCGGGGAGACTCAGGCCCTGCGCGCGTGGAAGGACGGCGAGATCAAACAGGTCAAGAACGCCAGGGGCGAGACCAGGTGGGCACACGACGAGGAATCTGTCTCCAGGGCCCTGCTGATCGCCAACGAGCAGGAGGTCGCGGCGTCCACTGGCATCCATGGTGACACGGCTCAAGTTTCCAGTTTCCTCACCACCGTCAACGAGGACTTGTTCCAGCTGCAGTCTGGATTCGACTTGGGCGAGATCGAGCCCGCGGCTGCAGTTGATAATCATGGTGGAGATGCCCTGTCAACAGCCCTCGCCACAGCGAAGACTGCCCTCGAGAATCTCCAGAAGATCAAGGGCAAGATGGACCAGATCTCAGGCGAGATCGGCGAGGACCCTAGCACCGACGACTTCGCGAAGGAGCACATCCTCAAGAAGGAAGATAAGATCGATAAGTTGATCAAGGAGTACCGCGCGATCATCAGGGACAAGAAGGACCCGTCTGGGAACGCCGTCACTGCCGACAACCTCAAGAAGAAGCTCGCGAAAGATTCGCAGGATGCCTCGGTCGTCACGGCATCCATCAAGGTCTACATCAGCCAGAAGGAGCAGGCCTAGTGATGGGTAGTGTGCCGTCCAGCTGCCGCTCGTTGCTTGCCAGGCTGTCCGTCCAGCTGCCGCTCGTTGCTTGCCAGGCTGTTCCCAGCGCTTGGCGTCTCTCTTGGCCGAGCGGCCGCTGCGCCGATCGAGGGTGGCGCTATTTATATCTATAGTGTGCGAGGGTTGTGACGGCCCTGGTGGAGCCCCCCGTTCTCGCTATGGAGGTGGTGGCTACGCCGAAGTCTTGGGTGTCCAACTCAGACATCGGTTTAAATCATTTTGGGGTTCAGTCTGATGCACGGCGCCTCGCCACTTGAAAGGGCCAGTACGCTGGCCGTTCTAATGGAGGTGGTAAGAGGGACGTTAGGAGGAGGAGGAGAGGGGAGGAGAAAGAGGGCGGAGGAGGAGGAGGAGGAGGAGGAGGAGGGGGTGAATGAGAGTGGAGGGGGGGGAGGGAGAGAGGAGTACGAAGTCAGGAGTGGGTGGAGGATGCGAGGATAGGAGAGGACGACAGAAGAGTAAACACACCATCGGTGAGCCCCACCTCAAAGCTGCCTGGCCCTGTCGGCGCGGCGCTACACCATATGACACGCGTGCACCTTGACTAAAGAAATGCATGGCCGCTATCGGGCATACCCAAGGCTGACGCCGATGCCGAACCCCCCGACGCCCAAGAGAACGCCATTACCATGCGTCGACCGCGACAATGATCACGCCGATATGGTCGGTGGGGTTCGATGGGACGGACGACGACGAACGCGATGACGACACGTGGTTCACATCCGTGGGGCGACGCGACTGGTCCGCTGACCCCCCCCCCCCCCCCCCCCCCGCGCGCGACAGCGCGACAGAGATAAGAACGATTGCGATGACCCGACGGTTGAAGCGGGGGGGGCAATGGTCTCACCGCACTGCGGAACGCCCAAGGGCAAATGTTGTGACACTATATTCGCCCGCCTTCGTTCCGTAGCCATTCTTTCTCGAGGGACAATTGTTGTGACACTATATTCGCTCGCCTTGGTTGGTCGGGCCCGAACTTGCACTGCAGCGATGCCCAAGCTATCCCCAGATACCCTGAAGCGGAGACTCTCCGATGCCCGACAGGAGCGCGAAGCCTGGAAGAAATCGGCGACGGCCCTGAAGAGACAGAACAGGCGCTTGAGAGCCATTCTTAGCGAGGGCATGCAGTCCTTGGACCGCTGGAAGTACCTCCCAGAGATCAGCTTCCCGAGCGAGCCTGGCGGCGCCTTGCACCGTGGGGGGGGCCCCGACTTGCAAGGTGAGCCAGCCGCCGAGCCCCGGGACCTTTCGATACAAACCTAACTAGCAAAAACGTTGCTTCCAACTCTTCGACCATTCCTCCGTGGCATCTTACCTTCGACTGGGTAGGTAAGGCGCCACAGAGGGGTGGGCGAAGAGGAGGGCAACAAGGAAACTGCCGCCACCGCCCCCCCCCCCCCCTCCTCCGCCAGCAGGGCCACCACGAGGACGACAAGGACGAGGGCGACTCCGACTCCGACTCGCCGTCGGCCTGAGGAGGCCCCCCCGACTCGCCGTCGGCCCGAGGACTCCGACTCGCCGTCGACCGCAGGGGGAGAGAACCCGAGAAAGAGAGGGAGGAGGGGGGGCGAAGACGACAGAGAGAACGAGAGAAAGGGAGGGGGTGCGAGACAAGGCAGCACGAGAAAGAGCTAGCGAGCGAACGGCGGAAAGAGAGAGAGAGAGAGAGAGAGAGAGAGAGAGAGAGAGAGAGAGAGAGAGAGAGAGAGAGAGAGAGAGAGAGAGAGAGAAGAGAGAGAGAGAGAGAGAGAGAGGGGGGGGAGAACACACAAACAAAGAAAGCGAGGCAACGAGCAACCGAGCGAGAACGGGAAGGGGGGCGCCAAGGAGGACGACAACGGCAGCAAAAAGGAAAAGGACACGAAGAGCAGGAACGAAGAGGAGGAAGCGGGGGGAGGAGGAGGAGAGCTCGGAGGGGGGGGAGGAGGAAGAGGAGAAGGAGGAGGAGGAGGAGGAGCAGGAAGGACCTTCCTGCTGCTGCTGCTCCTCCTCCTTCTTCCTCCTCCTCCTTTTCCTTCTCCTTCTCCTTCTCTTCCTCCTCCTCCTCCTCCTCCTCCTCCTCCTCCTCTTCCTCCACCTCCTCCTC